TATAATATAATTATGTTCTAATTATAATTAGAATATAATTCTGATGCAAAAAGTAATTTAAACACGCCTTGAAATTTGTTTGAAATTAATTGGATCAGTGTAAATGTAATTTTTGAGTGTACTTTTTCCTGAAATTTACTGTAATATTTTTCTTCTTCTTTAGACATGGGGAAATCTTTTTCTCATTTGCCTTTGCATTCAAGTAAAGATGATGCCTATGATGGAGTCACATCAACTGAAAATATGAGGAACGGGTTGGTTAATAGTGAAGTCCATAATGAAGATGGAAGAAGTGGCGATGTCTCACAGTTTCCATACGTGGAATTCACAGGAAGAGATAGTGTCACTTGTCCCACTTGTCAAGGAACAGGAAGAATTCCTAGGGGTATTTGTTACTGCATTGTTTCTCCTTCAAAGAATGATTTGCATGCATTTGTACAAATAACCCAAGTCTTTGTCTAGATTCTCTTAGTTGTCTAAGAATTTCTCTAGGTTTTAAAAACACTTAGAATTAAAACTTCTTATCAGGTATCTTTAGTCTAAAGAACACAAAGAAACAAACATATAAATATTAATTAAGCTTTTTAAAGAAGTAACAGTAGAAATCACTACTCTGACCCCAGTATATTTTTTCCCACATTCTATTATAATAAACATGTACTGTCTCTTGAGTGAAAACTTCTAGTAGTATTTGGCATCTATAGAAGGCATATCATAGTTCTTTTGCTGCATGTTGTGTTAAAGGAAAACCTGCTCACCCACCCCCAATCTCCCATGCTATTTTAGAATCAATGGCAACAGGTAGAAATGATAAACGTACTTTGTGTTCTTCTCATTCTCTGATTGGTAATAGCTGGTATGTGACCCTGGAGAGACACTGAGGGAAGAGTGACAGTATAGGGTATATCAGGGTCTATGAGAAATGCCTTGGGAGGTAGTGTGGGGAAATTTACATTCCAGTGTGGCCATTAAACATGATGGTTTTATTTTTCCAAGGATAGTAGTTTGAGAATAAAAGGATTATTGTAGTTAAACGGATTAATGCATAGGCTAAGGGGAGGAAAAGCACTGTTTATATTTTTAAATTATGGCTAGTAGGCTTTTTCTTTTTTTAAGCATTCTGGACAAGGATTATGGAGAGAAAGAAGGGATTCAAGTATGACTCCAGAGGTTTTCCACCTAAGGAACTGGAAGAATGGAGAAGCCATTTATTAAAATGGAGAAAAAACAAGTTTGAGTGTATCTGTCAGAAGAGAGATCAGGAGTTCACTCTTAGACGTGGAAATTTTGAGAGGCATGTGTGACATCTAAGTGGATATGTTCAGCAGGCAGTTGTAAGAGTTTGCAGTTCAAGTGTAAAGCCTAGATTGAGTCATCACTGTTTGGATGATACCTAAAGCCATGATCTAGATGAGAGCCACCAAGCTGCCAGTGTCATACAAAAGAGATGAACCTTAGCATTGAACCCTGTGTTCTAATATTTCAAGGTCAGTGAGAAGAGAAGCAATTAGCAAAGAACACTAAGAGTTAGCAGCTAGAGTAGGAGGAAGAAATTTCCTCTGTGTGTGGTGTCCTTGAAAATAAGTGAAGAAAATGCACTAAGGAGGAGAAAGTGATAGCTATATAAGATGCTGCTTTTAAATCAGGTAATATAAGGAGTGAGAATTGATGATTAGAAGTGGTAATATAGAGGCCACTGGAGACCTTTACAAGAGCATTTTGATAAGTTTAATGGAAGTATGTAGAGAGCAGGATCAAGAGTATATAAGAAGAGGGAGATTAAGTATAGGTAAAATAGCTTTTTTTTTTTAAGGAATTTTGCTGTACAGAGAAAGTAGTAAGCTGGAAGGGCTATAAACAGGAGAGGAATTTTTTAAGATAGGAAGAATAATAGATCTATTTGAAAGAATGAGAATGATCCATAGAGAATACATTAATAGTGGGTGGAGGGGGGTTAATTATTGGAGCAGTGACCTTGTGAATGTATGAGGGAATGAGATCTAGTGCAGATAGATGCTGGTGCTTTGATAGTTAACATGAAGAACCAACTTCTGCTGAGGTTGAAAAATTGACATTTTAAGATATATGGCTATAACTCAACCCAAGAAAGAAATAGGGGATTTTGAAATGACTTAGTGTGTAAGAATCTAACTTCAAAGAGACCTGGAAGGTTTATTATGTAGGGTTCTTGGAATTTGAGATTTCATATGTGTCAGTTTTGCTTTTCGAAGAGGACAGTGTAAGAACCCCTACAGGTTTAAGGGTGAGGACATTCAGGACATGTTCTTTTCTCATGCAGATATCCAAATCAGGGTTTCAGTGGATAACAGTAGAGGTAAGGGAGGGCCTGGCAAATTCAGGTCTTCTCAAAGCAGGGATTTTTTTAAGATCTTTTTTTCAGTGGAGGAAAGAGTAAGAGCTACCCATTCTATATAATATTTTTAACTAGCTAGACATGTATATATGAAAAAAACATCTGCTGTGGAAATAAACTTCTGCTGGATAAGTTTTGAAGACTTCTAGAGCATTTTCCTAAAGGAATGAAATGAGAGCCATATGATATTCTGGTCCAAACCAGAGTGATGCAGAGCCACTATATTTTAATTAACCATGTTAATAAATTTCTAAATCAACTTTTTCACTTTTAGGACAAGAAAACCAACTCGTGGCACTGATTCCTTATAGTGATCAGAGATTAAGGCCAAGAAGAACGTAAGTGATCATAAGAAAATGGCAATTGGTTTTGTGTGTGTGTGTGTATGTGTGTGTGTGTGGGGGGGTTGTATTTTGTCTAAATAATTACTCTTGTTATAACTATTAAAAGGAAAGTATCAGGTCATTAAATCCTCTTTTTGTGTGTCTGTGTGATTTGAGTGAAAAGTTTATAGAGCAAATTCATTTTCTATGCAGTAGTTCATACTCATTTTGTTTCATGACATTGATTACAAGCCCCATAATGTAAAAACTTTCTTCCCACTTCTTCTCTATAGTTACCTCTTCCCTCTGTCCTTCTTTTCTGCCCTCTAAGCGTCTCCCTGTTGAAATACTACCCTTCTCATCTCCCATGCTTGATTGCTCTAAGGAATATACCTGCCTGGTGTTAATGTTCACCTTATAGGTCTGTCCATTGTCTGGTTGGAAGCCATAGGAGTGAGTTCAATTCTAGGCCCGAAGGGCAACTAGGGGCTGTGGTCTTGGGGTTTTCTCTGATAGAGACCTACCAGACCAGTAAGTCTGGTCATTTTTTATGATTTTGAGTTTTGTTCTACATTTTTCTCCTGCTTTATCTAGGATTTCCTTTCTGATCTCTTTCTGAGTGGTTGACAGTGGTAGCCAGGCACCATCTAGTTCTTCTGGTCTCGTGTTCAGGTAGGCTAAGGTTCCTGTGGTCCACTTGTCTCTTGGACTTACTGTTTCCTTACATCTTTGATTTTCTTCATGCTTCTTTGCTTTGGACAAGGAGAGACCAACTGTTGTATCTTAGATGTCTGCTCATAAGCTTTTAAGATCAAGCAGTGTTTTCAGACAGTGGATATCTGGCAGTGCAGGACAGTGATCTCCAAGAGAAGGAAAACAAATGAGGTAACTCATATGACTGCACCAGCTTACTGTCTAGAGAAAGGTTCCAGGCTGCAGCACAAGGAAGGCAACCCAGGCAGAGCTCAGTGGTCTCTGTGAATTAAGGAGTTGGAACTGGGAGTGTCAGAAACCAAGGTGACTAGAGTTAGCAGGATAGAGAACTAGATAGGACATAGCTGCACAGAAAGCTCCAAAGATCTGCAGAGGGTACCTCTCAAGTCTTCAACTGAGTACTGATCAACCCATGTATAAGCAAAACAGTCTGAAGCTGGAAAGGAACCACTCAAAAGGAGCAGAGGGAACAGCTCACAGAGGGCCAGGAGTGCTTGTTTTCACCAACCAGGGTGGAAAACTTTGTAATTCACAGGTATTAGATAGAGTACACAGAAAAGTACAGTCAGGCCTCCTTACCTGCGAGTTCTAAATCCACGGATTCAACCATGGATCAAAAAATACTCAAAAGAAAAAAGGCAATTAATTGGTCAAAGTAATCCCTTAAAGGCTAAGAGGGAACAAAAGGTGTTCTTTACGCCGCATTTACACTGCATGTGGTATTATAAGTAATCTAGGCATGATTTAAAGTATGCAGGAAGTTGTACATAAGTTATATGTAGGCACTACTCCATTTTATATAAGGAACTTGAACATCCGTGCATTTTGGTATCTGTTTAAGGCAGGGAGGCATCCTGACACCAGTCTGCCATGGATACTGAGGGATGACTATATTAGCTCAGTGATAGGGGAAAGAAAATAGCCTTTGATTAAAGATTGCGGTTCTCTTGCCTATTGTTAGGTCCCATTAGGTTTGGCTTTGATCCATTGAAACCTTATGAATAGTGATGGGTTGCCCAGTCTTGCGCCATCCTCAAAGTTGTTGCTGTATTTGAGCCCATTGTTACAGTCACTGTGTCAATCCTTCTTATTGAGGATCTCCCTCTTTTTTGCTGACCCTCTATCAAGAATGATGTCCTTCTCCAGGGGTCAGTCCTCCTCATAATGTGTCCAGACTAAGCAAGACAAAAATCTTCTTTTCTTAGGAGCATTTTGGCTGCACTTCCTCTAGGACAGTTTTGTTCTGACAGTCCATGGTATATTTAGTATTCTTCACCAATGTCGCTGTTGTCCAGCTTTCACATGCATGGCTTAAGTCAGGTACACTTCAGTTAACTTCAGTTTGTGACACTTTAAGGAGATCTTTTGTAGCAGATTTGCCCAGTACAGTGTCATTTGATTTTTTGAATGCTTCTTGCATGGACATTGATTGTTGATCTAAGAAGAATGAAATCCATGACAACTTCACTTTCTTTACCACTTACAAGGTTGTTCCTTGGTCCAGTTGTAAGGATTTTCATTTTTTTTTATATTTAGATGTAATCCATATTGAAGGCTGTAGTCTTTTACCTTTATTATTAAGTGCTTCACGTCTTCATTTACATCAAGCAAGGTTGTGTCATCAGCACCTCTCAGGTTGTTAAAGTGTCTTCCTCTAATCCTATGGCTGTGTTTTTCTTCACATAGCCCCATGTCTCAGATTATTTTTTCAACATATAGATTGAATTCATAAGGTAAAAGAATATAGCCCTGTCACATACTTTTTCCAGTACAATATCCCTTCTCTCTGAATGAATGTTTGTTGACCCATGTACAGGTTCCTCGTAAGCACAATTAAGTGTTTTAGAATTCTCATTCTTTTCATTGTGATCTACCCAGTCAAATGCCTTTGCATAGTCAGTAAAACACAGGTAACCATCTTTCTGGTTTTCTCAGCTTTCAGCCAAGATCCATCTTACAACAGTCATATCCCTCATTCTACACCCTCTTCTGAATCCAGCTTGAATTTCTGACAGTTCTCTGTCTATGTACAATTTATAGCCATTTTTGAATTATCTTTAGCAGAATTTTGCTAGCATGCTCCTGTCTAATGAAGCCTAAAAGCTAACCTTGAAAGGATTACATTGTTCTAAAAAACTTAACTACATTGCAGAACAAAGCTCAAGGATTTTTGTAAGAATACTGAAATACCCAATACCCACCAAGGTAAAATATATAGTATCTGGCATCCAATTTAAAATTACTCAGAATGCAAATAAGGTGAAAAATACAGCCAATAGTGAAGAGAACATTCAGTAGAAACAGACCCAGAAGTGATACAGATGACTGAATTAGTAGACAGAGACAGTAAAATAAGGGTTATTTAACTGTATAACCTAATTTGAAGAAGATGGAGTTTCTTAAGGATTAATTTAGAAGATGAAGGATCCAAACTGAATTAAAATTGAGATGAAAACTATAGTATCTAAGATGAAAAATACACTAGATGGCATTAACAGATTAGACACTTCAGAAGAAAAAGAGGACTGAACTCGAACACATAATCTTAACTTTCCAAAATGAAATACAAAGATGAAAAAAAGATACAAAATGAATAGAGCATCAGTGGTGTGTGGAACAAATTCAGACAACCTATATTCATGTTTGTGTGTGTGCATATCTGTGTGTATATATATATATATATATATATATATATATACACACACATACATACACTTATAAGGGAATGAATTTATAGGGTTACTGTAAGTTACACTCAACTCAATGACACAGAACAGCAGCACATATGGAGCCCTGGTTGCACAATGGTTAAAGCACTTTGCTATCGACCAAAGGCAGTGCTTCAAACCCACCAGCTGTTCCACAGGAAAGATGTGGCAGTCTGCTTCTGTAGATTTCCAGCCTTCGAAACTGTGGGGCAGTTCTACTGTATCCATTGGGTCATTAGGAATTGGAATCTACTCAACAGCAGTGGGTTTGTTTTTATATACATGTAATTGAAAGCCTAAAGGTGAGGTAGGAGGGAACAGAAAATAAATTTTACCTATTTTATGAAATCCTGTAGATGTCAACCTAGATGTTTATTGAATACCTATTATATCATTCTGTTCTAGGGCTTGCAGATAAAAACATGACAAAGATAACTTAAGTGTGAGGAAATTATTTTGTAGGAAAGACAGATAAGTAAGCAAATGATTACAATACCAATATCGTACCTGCTGGAGGTATGCCCTGTGCCCTGTGAAGGCAGAGTAGAGAAAATGCCAAATCATTCTGCAGAAATGGAAAAGGCTCCAAAGAAAATTATACGTCAGTTGAGGCTTAGTGAAGTGGAGAAAGAAAGTAGACACGAAACATTCATAATTTCATTAGTGCTATATAGCTCGAAGCATTCAGCTACTACTTATAGAGCTATAAGAAAAATTCTTATTGGTGCATTTTGTGGTAGAGGTCTATATTGAGTCAATTAATTTGTTGTTGTTGTTATGTGCTGTTGAGTCGGACCCGACTCATAGCGACCCCTCCTTGGGTTTCCGAGGCAGTATCACTACGGAAGTAGATTGCCCCATCTTCAGTTAATTAGACAGTTGTTTAATTTGGGATGAAACACTAACCAGAATGTTATTTTACTGTCCCAACAGGTTCAGTAATGTTTTTGAATGAGTATTTTTTTTTTTTAATATGGCTTTAAATGTGGTGTACAAAGTAGTTCAGAACAGTGTTTCATATATTCTTAACTAGGGCTGACATACAGGCCCTAAGCACTGAATATGTTATAGTGGGCTTGTTATTGTGTGCCATCATAGACCTCTAGAGGACAGAGTAGAATCACCCCCATAGACTTTCCTAAGCTGTAGTCTTTATAGGAGGAGCTTTGGTAGCATACTGCCTAAGACACTTGACTGCTAACCAGAAGGCTGGCGGTTCAAACCCACCAGCCACTCCTCGGAAGGACGGTTGGGCAATCTACTTCCGTAGGGATACTGCCTCGGAAACCCAAGGAGGGGTCACTGTGAGTCGGGTCTGACTAGACAGCACATAGCAACAACAACAGTCTTTATAGGAGCAGATGGCCAGGTCTTTTCTCCTGCCAAGTGCCTAGTGAGTGTGAACCCATAGCCTTTTGGTTAGCAGCTAAGAACTTAACCAGAGAACTACCAGGGCTCCTTATGATGGGCTAAAACCAAACCTACTGTCATCGAGTTGACTCAGACTCACAGCAACCCTATAAAAACTGCCCGAGAGGATTTTTCCAAGGCTGTAAATCTTTATCAAAGCAGACTGCCACATCTTTCTCCTGC